AGTTGGTTGGTGTTTTGTAAAAGGGAGCTCCCAGGAAGCTTTAGCTTATATGCTAAAGCTAATTCAGGCCCGTTGCCATTTTGTGTTGGCAAAAAGGCAACGGGCCACATGATGCTACAGAGAGGGCCGCGATTGGCTCGGGGGCCTCAGTTTGTCCAGGCCAGATCTGGTGCATGAATGAAGCGAAACCTGGATAAAGAGTTCAGCTACAGTTGGTCTAAAAAGAGACCAAACAGGCCTAAACAGACGTCACTCTGCCGCTCCAGCCCCAGTGAACATCCAGGGAAAGGACATTGAGAGAGTGGACTCTTACAGGTACCTGGGTGTTCATCTGAACCACAAACTGGACTGGACTCATAACACAGACGCCCTCTTAAAGAAGGGCCAGAGCCGCCTCTACCTGCTGAGGAGGCTCAGGTCTTTTGGAGTGCAGGGGCCACTCCTGAAGACCTTCTATGACTCTGTGGTGGCATCAGCCTCTTGTACGGTGTGGTCTGCTGGAACAGCAGCATCACAGAGAGGGACAGGAAGAAGCTGGACAAGGTCATCAGGAAGTCCAGCTCAGTCCTGGGCTGTTCCCTGGACACAGTGCAGCAGGTGGGGGACAGGAGGGTCCTGAACAAACTAACATCTATGCTGGACCATGACTGTCGCCCCCTGCAGGACACTCTCTCTGCTCTGGAGAGCAGCTTCAGTGACAGACTAATTCACCCTTGCTGTGTGAAGGAGAGGTTCCGTAGGTCTTTCCTTCCTGCTGCTGTCAGACTGTACAATAAGTAAATTCTTAAATCATGTGCAATACTGCAACTTCAGAATGTCACAAAACAATGTCACTTTACTTTATCTACTTATTATCCTGCACTATATGTACAGTATATAACTGCACTACTACATGTATATATTTTTTTGACTGGTATTGAAGTATTTTCAGCATCTACAGCCAGTTATGTTAGTTAAGAAACATAGCTACTACTTATTTGTATATATTGTGTGTGATCCCTGTGTGCTCTCACTACTGTCCTGTATGTGCGCTGCAACAGTGAAATTTCCCCACTGTGGGACAAATAAAGGTGTAGTATTAGTGTTATTTTCATATACAGTGATTATTTATGATTGTTATGCCTTGTTTATGAACTGTGCTATACAAATAATCCAAGCCTGACACTGTTTTCGTTTGCCGCCGCTTTAACACGTACCAGAAACTCTGCCGTTTGTTTATGGACTAAAGAGAAGGGGGGGCTCTTGTGGTTCAAAGGTGGTGATTTAAAGCCGCTCTTTGTCGCTCCAGTGGATTAAGTCATGATTATTTTGCTAAATTGCCGCCGCACAACGGTCAGTTAGCCTTTAATGAAAGTGCAACTTATGAGGCGGAGCGTCCAGGGCCAGAAGCATTTACACGCCTCGGCCCTGGTCTCGGCCTTGGTCTCTGCCCTCCACCTAAACACATTACCATCTGAACACATTACTGTCAAAAAAACACATTACCATAAAAAACACATTACCATGAAGAGCAGGACCATATGAAGAGGACAAAGTCACAGCCACAGTTTTCCTTTTTCTTCTTCTCTTGGTGCTACTGTAACTTTATGCTACTGTCTTTACGTGTTACTGTCACTTTAAGAGCTCGGCTAAACGACTATAATGTGTACTTAGTGCTTACTTGTAAATAGTAGTCATTTTAACTCTACTTAATCATAATAATAATAATGCAATAGTTTTATATAACACTTTTTTGGACACTCAAAGTCACATCATTATTCATTCACTTCATACACGGTGGTGATAAACTACTACTGAAGCCACAGCTGCCCTGGGGCACACTGACAGAAGCGAGGCAACCAGTCTGTGCCATCAGCCCCTCCCACCACCACCAACCATTCACACACACACCAGACTCATTCTAATGTGGGGGAAGTGTCTTGCCTAAGGACACGACGGCAGTTTGGCACTCTCTCCTCTACTCTACTCTATTTTTCTTCTTCTTCACTTCATGGTACTGTCTTTTTGTGTTACTGTCACGTTAAGAGCACTGCTAAACGACTATTGTGTGTACTTGTTTGCTCTACTCTACTCTACTCTACTCTACTCTACTCTACTCTACTCTACTCTTGCCTGGCCTGCCAAACGATATGCTTTTTCAAAGACATATAGTCTGGGAACGAGCTTGATCTCAGCGAATTCCCGGTGGGCGTGGTTGACAGACTGCATCAACCAATTAGATGCACACAGGATATGACGCAGCAACTAGCGGCACCCAAGCCGTTTCAGTAAACACAAAACAAGGGATGGCGGCATGTCAGCTAGTGCAAATGTAAACGACTGCTGTCGATTTTGTAACAAAAACTTAAAGATACGAGGAGTTATTAGCAACTCAATTCCGTTGTTTGCTTCCGCCTCTAGGTGAAAGGAAGTCCCGCCTCTCGGTGCGTGATTGGACCGATGTGGGTAAAATCGTGAAATGATAGGCTAGGAAGAGGTGTCCAGACGGTTCTTCTTTTGAACAGAAAGGAGGAGTGTCTGGCAGGCCAGGCAAGCTCTACTCTACTCTACTCTACTCTACTCTACTCTACTCTACTCTATCTAATCTAATACAATTCGGGAGCCGTGACTGCCCCGTCAGTTGTAGCCTGATCCTGTCCTCATGTTAAAGGTCCTCTTCTGTCCCTACATCTGTGTATGGAACACCTCTGCAGCTGTGTATGGGACACCTCTGCAGCTGTGTATGGAACACCTCTGCAGCTGTGTATGGAACACCTCTGCATCTGTGTATGGAACACCTCTGCAGCTGTGTATGGGACACCTCTGCAGCTGTGTATGGAACACCTCTGCAGCTGTGTATGGAACACCTCTGCATCTGTGTATGGAACACCTCTGCAGCTGTGTATGGGACACCTCTGCAGCTGTGTATGGAACACCTCTGCAGCTGTGTATGGGACACCTCTGCAGCTGTGTATGGAACACCTCTGCAGCTGTGTATGGAACACCTCTGCAGCTGTGTATGGATCACCTCTGCAGCTGAGTATGGAACACCTCTGCATCTGTGTATGGCGCACCTCTGCAGCTGTGTATGGAACACCTCTGCATCTGTGTATGGACCACCTCTGCAGCTGTGTATGGAACACCTCTGCATCTGTGTATGGCGCACCTCTGCAGCTGTGTATGGAACACCTCTGCATCTGTGTATGGACCACCTCTGCAGCTGTGTATGGAACACCTCTGCATCTGTGTATGGACCACCTCTGCAGCTGTGTATGGATCACCTCTGCAGCTGTGTATGGACCACCTCTGCAGCTGAGTATGGAACACCTCTGCATCTGTGTATGGACTACCTCTGCAGCTGAGTATGGAACACCTCTGCAGCTGTGTATGGAACACCTCTGCAGCTGTGTATGGACCACCTCTGCAGCTGTGTATGGACCACCTCTGCAGCTGTGTATGGACCACCTCTGCAGCTGTGTATGGATCACCTCTGCAGCTGTGTATGGAACACCTCTGCAGCTGTGTATGGACCACCTCTGCAGCTGTGTATGGACCACCTCTGCAGCTGTGTATGGATCACCTCTGCAGCTGTGTATGGACCACCTCTGCAGCTGAGTATGGAACACCTCTGCATCTGTGTATGGACTACCTCTGCAGCTGTGTATGGAACACCTTTGCATCTGTGTATGGCGCACCTCTGCAGCTGTGTATGGAACACCTCTGCATCTGTGTATGGACCACCTCTGCATCTGTGTATGGAACATCTCTGCAGCTGTGTATGGAACACATCTGCAGCTGTGTATGGACCACCTCTGCAGCTGTGTATGGATCACCTCTGCAGCTGTTTTGTGCGCTGAGATTGCGTGTCAGAGTTATTTACGTAGCGCGGAGGAGGCGGGACGTGCACTGGCAGAGCATGAAGTTGGAGGTTATCAAACAGCTGCACCAGAACTCAATACGCTCCAATCTCATCCTCCTTAATGATCTCACTTTAGCTCCTGATTCCAATCCCAGCCTGGTTCCCAACATCTGCCACACACATACACACTCACACACATACACACACATACACATACACACACTCACACACATACACACTCACACACACACACACACACACCTACGCACAGACACACACACACAGACCAGTTCTTCTGTCCTCATTATTGTTACCATCATGTCCGCTCTCTGCCGTAAACGACTCCATAAACAAAATAGATGGAGATTGTTGAGAGAGTGAGAGACTGCGGTCGGGTCAGAGAAAAGTGAGGTTTTTGTTTTGTTTTTTTTATAAGAAAAAGAAAAAGTCCATGCAACACAAAAATACAGATAAAAAACAAACACACAATCTTTACACATTTCTGTAAAAGCAGTTTCTCTAATGCGCCTCCAGAGTTCAGAAGTCCTGCATGCGTCATATTGCACTGGAAAAAAGTATATGAAAATAAGTAAAATACTGCTTAAAATAAGAAAACAATATGACTTAGATAGACAGATACTTTATTGACCCCCGAGAAATCCAGGTCCAGCAGCAGAAGACTCTTTTTTGTTGTTGTACAGTAGTCAGGTTTGTTGTACAGTCTGACAGTCAGTCAGGTTTGTTGTACTGTACAGTCTGACAGTCAGTCAGGTTTGTTGTACAGTCTGACAGTCAGTCAGGTTTGTTGTACAGTCTGACAGCCGAAGGAACAAAAGATCTCTTGAAACATTCTGTTCGGCAGCGTATTGATAGGAGCCTGTTGCTACGGTTACTCCTCTGAGCGGCCATAGTGTCATGCAGAGGGTGTCTGGAGTTACCCAGGATGCACTGCATTAGAGCCCTCATCTTTCTCTCCAGCACAGCTCCCACAGAGTCCACACTTCTCCCCACCACAGAATATTTCCTGATCTGTCGAGCCGGTTACTGCCTCTGAGGTCAGACTGCCCCCAACACGAGACCCGAAGTACTAGCCACAGGCTGTTGAAATATGTGCAACATTTGACTGCTCACATCGAAGGACCTCAGTCTACTCAGACTGAGGTGGACTCCCAGTCCAGTCTGTGGTCCAGGTGGACTCCCAGACCAGTCTGTGGTCCAGTTGGACTCCCAGATATAAGAAAATGATACTCGCCCCAAACGTCTTGATTCTAGTAAAACACTCACATTTCAAGGATTATTTACTTATTTCCTAAATATTTTTGGGAAATGTTTTCTAAACGTTTATCTAAACAAGAAAAAGAAAAAAATATTTAAAACAACCTCAAAAAATGTTTTCTCTAAGATTATGAAGAATCTTAAAACTAGTAAAACAATCCTATGACAAACTAAATTCAAGCAACAAAAACTTTAAGAAAATAAGCATCATTTTGGTTGTTTTTTGTGAATAAATCGTGCAACATGAAGAAACAGAAACAGAACATTTAACATTTCATTCAAAACAGAACAGAAGCTACTGGAGCTATAAAAGTATGATGGATGTTAGGTGTGGGTCAGGGGGGAGTATGGGGGGTGTATGGGGGGGTTATGGGGGTGTATGGGGGGGTTATGGGGGTTATGGGGGGGTTATGGTGCATGGAGTCACTGGCAGCGCCTCTGTCATGGGCTGCGATGATCCGTGAACTCACCATCTGGATTCTCTTCCACAAATCATATTAAAGTTTCAGTCTCAGGAATACGTCAGGCTAAATGAATACTGCGTCCTGGGTCAGAGACAGGGCCCTGAGCTGTCTGTGTCTGTGTGTGTGTCTGTCTCTGTGTCTGTGTCTGTGTGTGTGTCTGTGTCTGTGTGTGTGTGTGTGTCTGTGTCTGTGTCTGTGTGTGTGTGTGTGTGTGTGTGTGTGTCTGTCTCTGTGTCTGTGTCTGTGTGTGTGTCTGTGTCTGTGTGTGTGTGTGTGTGTGTGTGTCTGTCTCTGTGTCTGTGTCTGTGTGTGTGTGTGTGTGTGTGTGTGTGTCTGTCTCTGTGTCTGTGTCTGTGTCTGTGTGTGTGTCTGTGTCTGTGTGTGTGTGTCTGTCTCTGTGTCTGTGTCTGTGTGTGTGTCTGTGTCTGTGTGTGTGTCTAACAATATAGCAATGACAACAAACACCTTTTTACCCTCACTCCAAAAAGTAATGAAAAATATGTAAAAAATGTGTCTTAATTCAAGCACATTGTGACGGAGCCTTAACACAAGATTTTCCAACGGGACAAAATCAAAATGATCTGGTTTTAAAAATATACAGAAATGTCTCCCTTGGAATGAGAAAATAAAAGTAAATATCTTTGTCCCAGTGTAGACTCTAGTTTAAAACAGAATCTACTCACACTAAGACAAAAACCACTTGAGTACAGCCTTTATCACCTCTTACCACACGCTCCTCACAGCAGCAGCAGAACCTTTGATCTGAATGTCATTTCAAAACGCTTTACGTCGTTATTTCTTGATAACTGACCTCTCAAAACAATAATGACCGCTGCCCTTTGGCAACGCACTCTCTGCTTGTAATTCAGATGTAGATTACTCCACAAGTAGTTCCGGGCACTTCGTTGCTATCGGAGCTGGCCACGCTCAATAAACACAAATACCAATCAATCAACACAATTAAATGTTAAAGGGAGAGTACATGTGAGAATATACATCCTTAACACACGTGCACAGAGGTTTCAGAAGTATCTGTTAATGTTTTCATGACAAAAATATAGTTTTAATGAGACAAAAAGCAATCATGAAAACCCCGGAAGTAGATTCTGGGACATTTTAGGAACTTTTGCAGAGGATCTGATTATGGATTTAGGTTAAGTTTATGTTTGGGTCACTCACCGCTGAGGTTCAGGATTCATGTAGTTCCAGAGAGTTCTAGTTTGGAAGTTACTAGCCTAACTGTTACTAGCCTAACTGTTACTAGCCTAACTGTTACTAGCCTAACTGTTACTAGCCTAACTGTTACTAGCCTAACTGTTACCAGCCTAACTGTTACTAGCCTAACTGTTACTAGCCTAACTGTTACTAGCCTAACTGTTACTAGCCTAACTGTTACTAGTCTAACTGTTACTAGGCTAACTGTTACTAGCCTAACTGTTACTAGCCTAACTGTTACTAGCCTAACTGTTACTAGCCTAACTGTTACTAGTCTAACTGTTACTAGCCTAACTGTTACTAGCCTAACTGTTACTAGCCTAACTGTTACTAGCCTAACTGTTCCTAGCCTGACTGTTACTAGCCTGACTGTTACTAGCCTAACTGTTACTAGCCTAACTGTTACTAGCCTAACTGTTACTAGCCTAACTGTTACTAGCCTAACTGTCACTAGCCTAACTGTTACTAGCCTAACTGTTCCTAGCCTAACTGTTACCAGCCTAACTGTTACTAGCCTAACTGTTACCAGCCTAACTGTTACTAGCCTAACTGTTACTAGCCTAACTGTCACTAGCCTAACTGTTACTAGCCTAACTGTTACTAGCCTAACTGTTACTAGCCTAACTGTTACTAGCCTAACTGTTACTAGCCTAACTGTTACTAGCCTAACTGTTACTAGCCTAACTGTTACTAGCCTAACTGTTACTAGCCTAACTGTTACCAGCCTAACTGTTACTAGCCTAACTGTTACTAGCCTAACTGTTGCTAGCCTAACTGTTACTAGCCTAACTGTTACTAGCCTAACTGTTACTAGCCTAACTGTTACTAGCCTAACTGTTGCTAGCCTAACTGTTACTAGCCTAACTGTTACTAGCCTAACTGTTACTAGCCTAACTGTTACTAGCCTAACTGTTACTAGCCTAACTGTTACTAGCCTAACTGTTACTAGCCTAACTGTTACTAGCCTAACTGTTACTAGCCTAACTGTTACTAGCCTAACTGTTACTAGCCTAACTGTTACTAGCCTAACTGTTACTAGCCTAACTGTTACTAGCCTAACTGTTACTAGCCTAACTGTTACTAGCCTAACTGTTACTAGCCTAACTGTTACTAGCCTAACTGTTACTAGCCTAACTGTTACTAGCCTAACTGTTACTAGCCTAACTGTTGCTAGCCTAACTGTTACTAGCTTAACTGTTACTAGCCTAACTGTTACTAGCCTAACTGATACTAGCCTAACTGTTACTAGCCTAACTGTTACTAGCCTAACTGTTACTAGCCTAACTGTTACTAGCCTAACTGTCACTAGCTTAACTGTTACTAGCCTAACTGTTACTAGCCTAACTGTTACTAGCCTAACTGTTACTAGCCTAACTGTTACTAGCCTAACTGTCACTAGCTTAACTGTTACTAGCCTAACTGTTACTAGCCTAACTGTTACTAGCCTAACTGTTACTAGCCTAACTGTTACTAGCCTAACTGTTACTAGCCTAACTGTTACTAGCCTAACTGTTACTAGCCTAACTGTTACTAGCCTGACTGTTACTAGCCTAACTGTTACTAGGCTAACTGTTACTAGCCTAACTGTTACTAGCCTAACTGTTACTAGGCTAACTGTTACTAGGCTAACTGTCACTAGCCTAACTGTTACTAGCCTAACTGTCACTAGGCTAACTGTTACTAGCCTAACTGTCACTAGCCTAACTGTTACTAGGCTAACTGTTACTAGCCTAACTGTTACTAGCCTAACTGTTACTAGCCTAACTGTCACTAGCCTAACTGATACTAGCCTAACTGTTACTAGCCTAACTACTAGCCACGGGAGAGTTTCTGGGAACTATTTTGTTTGCAGTCAATAAAGTACTGACAGGGCGAAGCGTCGGGGTCCGCTTCGCCCTGTCAGAGCTTATTTTCCCATAATGACCTATGTTGTATAACCTATTGTGTATAAATTGCGCTATACAGATAAACTCACCTTTATGTCAGTCTGTTTTGTTGATTCTAAAACATGATTTTCAAAGGGAACTCTCACAAATGCCGTGTTTATCGAGACACGAGCTCAAAGAACCTCAGGCTGAATGAAAAACCTTGCTTCTGTTTTCTTTCCCATTTGGCAGAATCTTGTTTTTACCTTGAACAAAAAACCTCAATTCCGACATTTACGACTTTATATTTCCTCGGCGTTTCCAGTTTGATACATATTTAAGTTAGTTTAGTTAACAATAGCTGTGCGTAAATAGTAAATATAGTTAATGTCGTGTATTTTCAAGTCCTTTTTGCCGTAAATCCTTCGTAGTTGCGTTCAATCTACTGCAAATGACACGGTTGTTGAGCTGCTGTTTTGCCCCGATTGATTTTGCTTTAATCGATTCCCGTTTTTTCACCTTTGTCTGAGAATAATAAGAGTTGGAGTAATGCCATTGTTCATCATTCAGTAACATGTTCTGGTTTGTGGCTGCATATATTCTGCTGCAGCACCATTCGCGCTCCAGTAAAAGCCATTAAGAAAATATTGCCTCACCAAGACACTGTTTCATACCAGAAGGAAAAATCTATTTAGTTCTTTTCCAATCCAGTGGCTTGTGGAGCTGGGGGTTTTCTTCCACCAGCCTGGACTGCAAAAAAAAAAAAAAAGGGGCCTTAATGTTGGCCGTCCAATCTTCTGGTGTTTGCAGTTCCCCAGTGAGAGGTATGGATTGGCTGCTGGAGCAAACCTGATCAATTCTCTCTCTCTTCGTTTACTTTCATGGGTCCAAACAACGACTTAGTGCACTCTGCTTTGCTCGCTCACTCACCGCAATCCACTTTGTGTCCGTGACGTTACGGGGCACGATTCTGCTGCTTCAGAAATGATGGGAAAAGGTACAAATGTGAGCCGCACGGAGGACTTAAAGGTGTGTATTTGTGTCGTTATAGAGACTGTAGGACTGGGAACAGAGCTGGACTCATTGGATATAGATTTCTGCCAAGTAATGACAATAATAATGTCCCTTTGTCCTTCAATTTTGTCATGGTAATGCAAACAAAATACCACAACAATAACACACGACCTCCTCTGTGTGTGTGTCTGTGTGTGTGTGTGTGTGTGTCTGTGTGTGATTCTCTGATCTGTTGTTGGCGATTTCAACGGTTTTGTGAAGTCCCTCTGAGAAAACTGCTGTTGTGATTTAGGGCGATGCAAGAATACATTGAATTGAATTGAATGCGTGTCTTTCTGTGTGTGTGTGTGTGTGTGTGTGTGTGTGTGTGTGTCTGTCTGTGTGTCAGTCTCTCTATGTGTGTGTGTCTGTCTCTGTCTGTTTGTCAGTCTCTGTGTGTGTGTGTGTCTGTCTGTCTGTCTCTGTGTCTGTGTGTGTGTGTGTCTGTCTCTGTGTCTATGTGTGTTATTTTTGTCATGGTAATGCAAACAAATACCGTAGCAAGTTCAGCAGTAATTAAAAAAATAATAATAAATAGTTTTTTTTGTACTTGAGTCTTGCAGAAGACTGGTCCAGGTTTTAGACTGTTCTGCATCTTTAGTCCTGGCTCCGGGACCAGCAGGAGGCCAGTCCCTGTGCTCCTCAGAGTCTCAGCCGGAGGCCAGTCCCTGTGCTCCTCAGAGTCCCAGCAGGAGACCAGTCCCTGTGCTCCTCAGAGTCCCAGCAGGAGGCCAGTCCCTGTGCTCCTCAGAATCCCAGCAGGAGGCCAGTCCCTGTGCTCCTCAGAATCCCAGCAGGAGGCCAGTCCCTGTGCTCCTCAGAGTTGGTTCCTATGGCAATAACATGTCACAGATGTAATTTGGTGCAGGGCAATGGAGAGACTTTAACTTTAGTATAAAAAAAAAAATCTTTGGTTTTGTCAGTGACCGTCTGTTCTCGTCTGTGTCCTTTCTCTCAGGGCTCCAGGTGATTTTCCCCGACTACCTGCAGGAGAAGTTCGTGCAGTCCGCTCTGAGCTACATCATGTGCAACGGCGAGGGCGAGTACCTGTGTCAGAACAACCAGTGCATCTGCCAGTGCACCGACGAGTACCCACAATGCAACTGTCCCATCACCGACATCAAGATCATGGAGAAGACGCTGACGGCCATGTCTGAGACCTGGGCGTCCTCGTACAAGGACTTTGAGAACTCTGGTGAGTGTGGGTCGGGTTTACAAATCACACAAATACAGTGTTTTCTCATGTCAGCCTTGAACAACACACACAATACACAAAATAGTAACTGCATAGTTCAGACTCAAAAAGGTGCAAGTTTGTTGAATAAAAGTCATAATTTTATCCCAAAACTGCAAGAACTCCTTTATCTCCCAGTCATCAGAAAACTCCACAACAACAGGAGCAAACAGACAGAAGGAAAGACCTTTTTATTTGTCTGAAAATCAAAGCCACAGTGAATTCAAGGTATAGACTATAAATATCAACAGATGTAGTGACGCTTATCTCCGCCGTTGAAACTATTCTGTCTATTCTGACAAAAGCACGTGGCATTTGCGCATGCGTTAGCCCCAGTCATTGAACGAGTGTATTCTGAAGTCCAAAGCGGCAAAACTAGACTGGTCCAAAAACATATACTCCCCTCAACATCGACAGCATCTGGAACATAGCTTTGGACCAAGAGCCACTTTTGGACCAAGAGCCACTTTTGGACCAAGAGCCACTTTTGGACCATCCTGTGAAGACGTTTTCAAGAGGGAAGAAGACGCCATACAAAAGCATTGGGTAATTCTCTTTCCGGGTACACCCCCACAGGCCTGGAGTGATATTGCAAGTATGTCAGCGCACGTGCTCATGGACCTTTTGTGCCGGCACCTGCCCCCACTGATTAAATCCCATTTGAACTCTATAAAGTCAACAGGGACTGCTTTTACTAGTAAACTGAACAGTGGAATTTCATCCGGACGTGTAGAACTTAGTGAGGGCCCCCAGAGTGGAGTCCTTAAAGACAGAGGGGCCGCGATTCTCCGGTGGGGCCTTGGGGATGCGTCCCACAACCTTCACTTGCTATAAAACTAATGAACATGCCGACAAGAAAAGCAAACAAAGCAAGAATAAGACAAACCATTTAGCGAGTTCCCACGTCCTGCTGCAACAAGCTAATGTGAGATAGAGATAGATAGATACAGTAGATATAGATACTGTAGATAGATAGATACTGTAGATAGATAGATACAGTAGATATAGATACTGTAGATAGATAGATACTGTAGATAGATAGATACAGTAGATATAGATACTGCAGATAGATAGATACTGTAGATAGATAGATACAGTAGATATAGATACTGTAGATAGATAGATACTGTAGATAGATAGATACAGTAGATATAGATACTGTAGATAGATAGATACTGTAGATAGATAGATACAGTAGATAGATAGATACAGTAGATATAGATACTGTAGATAGATAGATACTGTAGATAGATAGATACAGTAGATATAGATACTGTAGATAGATAGATACAGTAGATATAGATACTGTAGATAGATAGATACTGTAGATAGATAGATAGATAGATAGATAGATACTGTAGATAGATAGATACTGTAGATAGATAGATAGATAGATAGATAGATACTGTAGATAGATAGATACAGTAGATAGATAGATAGATAGATAGATAGATAGATAGATGGATAGATACTGTAGATAGATAGATAGATAGATAGATAGATAGATAGATAGATGGATAGATACTGTAGATAGATAGATAGATAGATAGATAGAT